CCACCCGGGGGTTCCTTCCTTCTACGGCTCTGCCTGCGTCTCCCACGGGGACACCTATTCTCTTCACCCCAGGGTCCATCCTCCCCCTCCCTCAGGGCTGGTGTCAGCCTCTCCCGTGAAGCTGTTGGCCTCTGCTGTAGCCCCCCCCCACACCCCCGCAGGTCCCCAGAGCAGCTCCGCTCTCTTAACCCAGCTTCAACAGCCAGGAAGACCTTCAGCTTTACTTTCTGTAGTTCTTTAGGGGCGCATTGTGCTTTTTTCCATTTAGCAAATAGGAAATTACACCATGATATTAAATATGCCTTTTTTTTTCTTAAATATGCCTTTTTTAAAAACTGTACCAGTGCCCCCCTACCTTGACACTTGCTGTCCATAGCATTGATTTAACATCTGAAGCAGCCATGACTCAGACAGCTGATTTTTCCTTTGTACATCTGTCTGGATTTCATTTTTCTTTTTTGTTGTTGAAGTATGGTTGATTTACCGTGTTGTGTTTCAGGTGTACAGCACAGTGATGCAGTTATATATATACACATATATATGTTCTTTTCCAATTTCTTTTCTCTCTTTTTTTTTTTTTGCGGTACGCGGGCCTCTCACTGTTGTGGCCTCTCCCGTTGCGGAGCACAGGCTCTGGACGCGCAGGCTCAGCAGCCATGGCTCACGGGCCTAGCCGCTCCGCGGCACGTGGGATCTTCCCGGACCGGGGCACGAACCCATGTCCCCTGCACTGGCAGGCGGACTCTCACCCACTGCGCCACCAGGGAAGCCCTCTCTTATATGTTTTTATAAAATACTGAGTATAGTTCCCTGTGTTATACAATAGGTCCTTGTTGGTTATCTGTTTTACACATAGTATGTCTGGATTTCTTAAAGAGGACCATGGCCTCACACTGATTAGGAACCACTGGCTCCTGAGGGCTTCTCAGTGTGTGAGGATTACCCAGGGAGACTGTAAACAGTCGAATATCAAAGAAGGAAAGAAACAGAGACTTGGTTAATTCTTCCCCAGCTCAGATGTGTACACTGCATTGAGAGATGAGGGCGTGCTGTGTATAATGTGTCCTGCTCCCTGTCTCTGCTCAGGGACCAGCAAGTCTCCTGCTGGGGCCGGACCGTGTCCCTTGCTGGTGCCCGTGGGGCTGTCGGGCAGTGGTCGCTTGTGCCTGATGCCACGCTTTGGCCTAGAGTGTTGGCGACATGCCAAGTTCTCCCTCTGGGCTTTGAGGAGTGCAGCCCTCTCTCTCCCTCGCCACTCACCCTGCCCAGGAAGCCCGCTCCCCACCAGGAGGGAGACGTGTGAGTGTCTGGTTCTCCTTCCCCGGTGTCTCTCTCGGCCTGTCAGCATTGTCCCATCTGCCTGAAGCAGCCAACCAACTGCTCTCGCAGAACTGTCGCAGACCTTTGTGGGGCGTGTTTTGTCAGTCCCTGTGGTTCTTGGCTTTGGTCTTCCCAACTTCGTTCTGGAGCTGGACCTCTCTTTCTCCCACCATCCGTCAGACATTCCAACTCTGAATCGATGTGGCCTCCTTGCCATTCCTTCCCCCGTTCTTCATCTTCAGTTACAGGCTGCAGTCATGCTGGAGGGTTTGTTAGGCCTTCAGATGAACCCGTCTCTCTTTTTTTTCCTATAAATTTATTTATTTTTGGCTGCATTGGGTCGTTGTTGCTGCACGTGGGCTTTCTCTTGGTTGTGGTCCGCGGGCTTCTCATTGTGGTGGCTTCTCTTGTCGCAGAGCACAGGCTCTAGGCGCGCGGGCTTCAGTAGTTGTGGCTCACGGGCTCTAGAGCACAGGCACAGTAGTTGTGGCGCACGGGCTTAGTTGCTCCACGGCATGTGGGATCTTCCCAGACTAGGGTTCGAACCCGTGCCCCCTGCATTGGCAGGCGGACTCTTAACCACTGTGCCACCAGGGGAACCCCCGTCTCTTCTCTGAATGACTTGAGTCGGTCTTCAGCTTGTTCTCGGTGGAGGCGTGATTGGCATTTCGGGCTGATCAGTTCATGTCTGCGGGACTGTCTTGTGCATCTCAGGACTTTCAGCGTCCCGGCCCCCAAGAGTGTCAGTGGTTCTCAGCGGCTGTGGCTCTGGAGGGTGGGAAGCTGGGTGGAGCAGTGTGACAGGCCTGGCATCTAGTGGGCAGGGCTCAGCGCTGCCCTGTTGAGAAATTCCCAGGGGCTGCCTGGCATTCCTTGAAGATGACAGGACTGGATGGCCGGCTTGTTTGTCTTGGTTTCTCTTACTTCTGCCTTATACCCACTTCTTGTTGTTTAGAACTATGCAAAGGCACCTGCCTCGTCATCTTTGCTGAGCGTCACTTGACAGCGAGGTGACTTGAGCTTACCTGGTAACCGTGCTCCGGGTTTCCCAAGCCTCCCAGCTCTGCTGTCACAGCATCACCGTCTTCTCCTGCGGGTGGTGGGGGGCAGGGCGGGGGGCAGGGTTGCTGTCCTCCTCGCACCGAGCAGCTCCCATCTTTGTTCCCGTGTCTCTTGATATCAGAGCATGATAGTTGCCCGCCCTGCACCCCTGCCAACACGCCACTCCTCCGTTTCTTGAGCAAGGTTCAGTTTCTCACTGCCAAGTTACGGTGGACAGTCCTACCTGCCACGTTTTTGTAATTTCCTTTGAAATGTACCTCCTTGTGTTTATTACCCATACCTTGTGTTGTTAGTGTATGGATTTCTGAAGCTGTAAAGTATATTTATAGATTATTTTAAAATTTATTTTGTCCTATGAATATTGAATCTATTCTCTGTTGTTTCTTCTTTCTTACTCTTTTTTTTTTTTTTTTTAATTTTTTGGCCTTGCTGTGCGGCATGCGGGATGCAGGATCTTCTTGAGCAGGGATTGAACCCGTGTCCCCTGCAGTGGTAGCATGGAGTCTTAACCACTGGACCACCAGAGAAGTCCCTGTTTGACTGTCTAATTTCACAATTTTGTCTGGAATTTTTTCCCATCTGTATTTGGTTTAAACATTTTTTAGCTTGGTAGGACTCAGCGCTACGGGACGTGGTCTCTTCTGTTTCTAGACAAGAATCTTACTCTAGTGCCTTGAGCCAAGGGCCGGAAGGTCCCAGTACATAGAGAGCCCTGTTTACCCCAGAGCCTCGCCCCTCTCCAATCCCCTGCTTCCCATCCGATCACTCACCAGATCGCTAAGCAGATATTGTATTTGTGTGTGACCGTGGGCTCCTGGGCTTCCTGACCCCTGCCGTGCGCCTCCTCTTTTGGAGCTTACGTTCTGTTTGGGGAGTGGACCAGAGTGGGAGTGTGGGTGTGAGATTTGTTTCTTCCCCTTCCTGAATGTGCCCAGGCTTCATAATCCCCAGGGGAGCCTTTCCGATGAGCCCTGGGCATTAGTAGGAGGACCAGCTGACAGCTGGCAGGTCGGGTGGTCTCTCAGGTTCCATGCTTCCCCTCCTGCGGGCTCAGGAAGAGGGGCCAGGCCACCCCTTCCCCCACTGCTGGGGCCGTGGCCACTAGCATCTTCCTCGTGGAAGCTGAGCATTGCTTAGAAATGGAACTCATCCTCTCACTGTGCAGCTTGCTAAAAATCCCCATTTCTATCCACCCCACACCTGCTAGACCAGAGTTTCTGGGCCTAGGGCCCAGGCCGACGAGTGTGGTGGGCAGCTAGGGCTGGCAAGCAGCAGTCTTCCCTGTGGGAAGAGACTCAGCCTGGCCCCTGCCACCAAGCAGCAGCGTGTCCCACCTGTCTCCTCTGTGCGGTCACTTGATGTGCTGTGCTCCTTATCCTGCCCCGTGCCAGGCACACCAGTAACATCGGCTCAGCCCCCTTTCTCGGGACTCTTCTCCTTCCTTATCTCGTATCCCCCAGGGTGCCTTGTACACTGGCCGTTTGATGGGAATGTGGGACGCAGAGGTTGTGGGGGCTGGTGCAGAGCCTCCGTGCCATCCTGCGCCACGGCACCAAACATGAAGGGGCTTCCTGGTTCTAGAGGGCTGCGGGGGCCAGACCAGCGAGGAGGAAGCCCGGGCTGTGGGACGCCATCCTGTGGGCCCTGCGGAGGAGGCAGGGCTGGGCTGGGTGGTGCTGTGGGGTTGGAGAGAGAGGCATCCAGGAGATGCGGAGGACGCTGTTGTGTCGTGGACGAGAGCCGGGTCGGGGTGTGGTGGGGGAGCGCCTCACTCCAGGCTCTGAGGATGGAGGAGCATGGGGGACCCAGGTGGGCGGGTGGCTGTGCAGTGGGTGGCTTGGGCCATAACGCCTGTTGGACGGTCACTCGAGTTGTCGGGGAAGCGGTGGGAAATGTCAGGCTAGTGCAGCTTTGAAAAACAAGTGACAGACAATTCTAGGCCAGAGACGGGACAGGGCCCTGATGTCGCCTGGCTGGCTGTGCTTTCTGGATGAAGTGGCATTTGTATGATAACAACCCCTCATATATTTGCAAGGCGTTTTCTTGCACATAGCATGGTTCCCCCTCCTTGTCTACATCTTTGGGTCTCAATGCCCTTTTGCAGCAGAGGAAACCGAGGCTTAGTGAAGGTTTCCATCCTCCCCCACCCCCCCTCCAGCCCCAGACTGGGTCGTCGGGCCCCAGTCATGTGCCCTGTGGAGGGAGAGCCCTTCTGAAACTGCACTCCGGCGTTGGGTGGAAAACTGTGGGTTTGTTTGCTTCTCTTCCCCAGTTCCATTCACCTTTACACGGAGGCAGCGCTTCATAGATCTGGGTTGGAAGGAGTCAGATCTGCAGCACCTGGCCTGTGCCCCTGCTGCGTGGGGACAGCCCATAGGGGAGGGGATCGTCCACTGGGGCTGTGGGTTCACCGAGGTGGGTGCTTGTCTTGGTCTGGGGTACAGTCAAGGGGGCCACTGCGGCTCCAGGCCTCTTAACCAGGCCAGGGCATCCAGCCATGCTCTGAGATGGCCTTGGTGGCGGTGTCGGCACTTGGTTTAATTTGAGGGAGTCAGGAGGGATCTAACGTGTGGTGCTTTCCCCTATTTGACACCCCTTTATGCTTTGTCAATCAACAGGAGCTTGAAGAAATCCGCAAATGTGGGATGAAAAACTTCCGTAACATCCAGGTTGATGAAGCTAATTTATTGACTTGGCAAGGGCTTATTGTTCCTGTGAGTATTGAACACCTCCACTTCTTACCAGATTATTCTTTACGCTGATGTGTGTGCTGCGGGCTTCTCCCTCTGCTCCCAAGGCGGCTCTGACTCTAGGCGGCCAGCAGGTGCCCGAGGCGGCTGTCGCGGAGGCTCACAGGGCAGGGCCGTGAAGGGGAGCCCATCTGGGCTCTGGTCTCCTGACATTCTGAGGTCCGAGCCTTCCAGGCCTGTGAGGGTCGGCCCGGAAAGGACGTGTGTCTGTGCTCCTGCTCTTCCTTGGCTTCTCTCTGCCTGGCCGCGTTTGTCCAGACTGGCTGCTTTCTCCGACCTCTCTTGGGAGGTAGCGGGTGTTTTCATCCATGTCTTCTCTTTGCTCTCCTGCCTGGGTTTGCGTCTTGTGTTTCTCTCTGGACACCTGTGTTCCAGGTTTTATTCTTGGGACCCTCCAGTCTGTGCCTCCCATTGGTCTCAAGTCCCTTTGCCTAGTGGCCCCCCAGTGTTTCTCTGGGGCATCTGCCCCCACGCCCTGTCGCCCAGACTTCCTTTGGGCGCTCGGGCCCCCTCCTCATCGCGGCTTCCTGTGGCCTCCCTGCCCTCTGGATTCCGCATCTACTCTTTCTGCAGCCCTTCATCTCCCCCTCCAGAGGCTTGTCCCATGCTGACTCCAGCTGTGACCCCGGTTTCCCTGCCCTCCCAGAACTGCTTCTGGCAGCACCTGGCCCACGTCCTCAGCCCCGGCTTGGCAGGTCCAGCCCTGGCCCTGAGGTCCTCACTCCTGTCCTGCCACTTCCTCTCAACTCTTAGCCATGGCTCTTGTCCAGCCTCTTGCTTTTCTCTTGCTCTGTTTTGTCTCTTGGGGACCTTGCTTCTTCCAGTGTCAGGTCATTGGGTTCTTGCTGGACGTGGAGGGGTGCACCTTGGCCTCTGTTCCTGCCCATCTTGGCCTCTGCTCCTGCCCGCTTGCCGGAGGCAGCCTTACTTGGACGTCATGTGCCTTCCATGTCCCCGGCTTGCGACAGAGACCCTCTGTGCCAGTGACCCCTGTTCTTCCCACCTCCCGCCGCCTCCTTTCATCCCCCCTGCCCTGTGCCTCACCCCTCCCCCCGCACCCCCCCACCCCGCCGCCCAGTGTAAAATCTCTCCTTACGAAGAGATGGGTCACTTTGCCAGAGCCAAGCAGAGAGCACGCTGACCAGAGATGCTTCCTTCTTGACACTGGTTCTAGGTCATGCTTATTTAACAGTCCCTGGAACTTGAACAGCAAATATTGGATTTGTAGTTTATTTTTATAATCATCTGGATAACTAAGGAAAGATATGCTTTATAGTGTTTCAGTGCACACCAAAAATTATAAACCTGGCAGCATCCAGCCTGGTTTTGCCCCCAGCCCTTGCCCACTGTGGGGACCTATTAGATGTTGAGTGGAAGGATGGCCAAGACCATCTGACCCCTGGCACTTTCCTAATTGAGATTTTGTTTCCTACTGATAAAATAGGCGAATAGTTAAGATGTGGATCTTTTGAAAAATGATAAGAATGACCGGGACAGTTTTAAGCGGTCAGGCTGGGCAGCCTACCGTGGGAGCTCAGTAGCCGGCTCCAAGGGTAGGTGGCTGTCTGGGAGGCGCCTCCCTGGTGTCGCATAGGCAGAGCCTGTGGAACGGGCGACTTCTCATTGAGCCCCGGGTGGAGATGGCTGGTAGAGTCCCAGTGGCCTGGGCCAAGGCTCCAGGCAGTGTCTGGAGCATCTGGGGAAGCTGTGCCTGGAGACAGGGCTGTGGCCAGGGCTCCTCTCGCCCTGCTCACGCTGCCTCTTCCTACTTCTCTGGCCCCTGGGTTGGCGTGAGGAGAGTTTCAAGGAAGCAGTTGGCAACTGCTCTGTCCAGGGTCCCCACTAGTACCCCACACCTGGGCCTCGGGTCTTCCTGCTCTGTAGGGGCTGGGTCAGCAAGGGGTCTTCTCCCCAAACTCACCTGGGATCCATCCAGCTGGAGTGAAAAGCAGGGCCAGGCTGATAAAGATGTGGCCCCCTGGGAAGTGGGCCTTTACAGCAGGGTACTTGCTGGTCCTGGGGAAGCCACCTGGCAAATCCACCCTGGTTGCAGTTCAGAGAGAGGGCAGGCCCAGACCTCAGGGGGCGACGGCGGGGGCACTTCATCGTTACCATGGCAGTTCAGGTTGATTCCCTTTAAACACTTGTTTTTTTTGTTTTTTTTTTTGCGGTACGCAGGCCTCTCACTGTTGTGGCCTCTCCCGTTGCGGAGCGCAGGCTCTGGACGCGCAGGCTCAGCGGCCATGGCTCACGGGCCTAGCCGCTCTGCGGCATGTGGGATCTTCCCAGACCGGGGCACGAACCCGTGTCCCCTGCATCGGCAGGCGGACTCTCAACCACTGCGCCACCAGGGAAGCCCTAAACACTTGTTTTTATATAACATTTTTCCATTTAAAATTCAGATGTAAGGTCTAAGGAAGAAAAGAATCGCATAATCCCATTATGAAGAAATTCAGTTTAGTGAGTTTTTGGCACCTGCCCTTCAGGAACAGGGGCCTAGTGGTGAACCTTCTTGAGGCTTCTCTCCCAGTGGGCGTGTCCACCCCAACCGGGTGCTCACACCCCCTTTAATGGGCCAGTTGCTGATGTCATAATTTTATCATTATTTGGTCATTGCCTTGAAACTCTTCATGAACATAAGTTTTAGTAACTATCCAATAGCCCATGTTTTATAAGTTATAGGTGTACAATATAGTCATCTTTATTTTAGATTCTGATCTTAAGATACAGTATTCTGTATTATATATTCCATTAGGATCAGGGTTGTACTATATTTAAGGAAAAACCATCTTTAGGGCTATATATGTTGTCAAATTATTTTCCAGAAAGGTTGTGCTAGTTTATACTCCTATAGGTACTGTCTGCACAAGTGCCCACACGTGTCCTTGGCTGTTGTGGAGGTTGCTGAGCATTTTTAAAGGGGGTTCTGAGTGGCACGTGCTTCAGCACCCAGGCTGTGGGGTCCCGCTGCCCAAGGGGAGAGCCCCAGCCCTGCCCCTGACTGGAGGGGTGGTGATCTTGGGCCAGCTACACAGTTAGTCCCAGCGTCCTCACCTCTAAAAGGAGCGCTTCCCTTCTGGCTGTTGTAAAAGTTCAGTAAGTGCACATGTTAAATGCTTAGTCTCACTCGGGGGCTCTCTGGAACGCTGTTTGCCCTAACAGAGGGTCCATGAAACAACACGCAGGAAGAAATTCTTGTCAGTTTGATAGGTGCAAAAGTTCTCAGCTTGATTTGTGTCTTTGTCCCATTTGGGCTGTTGCATAACAAAATACTAGATAGCTGAGCTTATAAGCAACAGAAATTTATTTCTCACAGCCCTGGGAGCTGTAGGTCTGAGATCAGTGCTAGTTGGGTGAGGACCCTCTTCTCACGAGTCACAGGCTGTTGCTCGCTTGGCAGAAGGGGCACCAGTCCCATTCGTGAGGGCTCTGCCCTGGTGGTCTAATCCCCTCCCAGAGGCCCCACCTCCCCACACCATCACCTTGGGGGGGGGTGGGTTTTTGTTTTTGTTTTTCTGGCTGTGTTGGGTCTTCGTTGCTGCACGCAGGCTTTCTCTGGTTGTGGTGAGTGGGGGCTACTCTTTGTTGTGGTGCGTGGGCTTCTCGTTGTGATGCCTTCTTTTGTTGTGGAGCATGGGCTCTAGGTGTGCTGGCTTCAGTATTTGTGGCTCACGGGCTTAGCTGCTTTGTGGCATGTGGGATCTTCCCTGACCAGGGCTTGAACCCGTGTCCCCTGCATTGGCAGGCGGACTCTTAGCCACTGTGCCACCAGGGAAGTCCAGGGCGGTAGGTTTTGACATAGGAATTTGGAGGGACACAAACATTCGGACCATAGTAATTTGTATTTAAAATTTTGTTTTTGCAGTTGAAGGTTTTTTCACTTATTTATTGACTGTTTATGTCTCTACAGTCTATTATCTAATAAGGTTTTAGTATGTTTGTCAAATTGCAGGAATTCTGTGTATTAATCCTTTGTGTCTGGGACAAATAATTTTCAGCTTAGTGTTTTCTTTTAAATTTTGTTTATTCAAAATTCCTAATTTTAAAGTTTCTCTTTTAAAAAATTTAAAAATTTTGCTTCATCAATTTTTTTTATTGTGGTAAAATATATATGACATAAAATTTGCCATTACAGAACTTTTTAAGTGTACAATTCAGTGACATTAATTACAGTCAAAATGTTTTGCAGCCATCATCACTGTATTTCCAAAACTTATCACTCAAACAGAAATTCTGTAGCCATGAAGTAATAACACTCTGCTCTCCTACCCCCCAACGCCTAGTACTCCCTAATCTACTCTCTATGTCAATGAATTTGCTTATTGTAGATATTTCACATAAATGAATCATATAAAGTTTGTCCTGGGCTTCCCTGGTGGCGCAGTGGTTGAGAGTCCGCCTGCCGATGCAGGGGACATGGGTTCGTGCCCCGGTCCGGGAAGATCCCACGTGCCGCGGAGCGGCTAGGCCCATGAGCCATGGCCGCTGAGCCTGTGCGTCTGGAGCTGCAACGGGGTGGCCACAACAGTGAGAGGCCTGCGTACCACACACACACAAAAAAATTGGCCTTTTTTATCTGGCTTATTTCACTCAGCATAAGTTTTTCAAGGTTCATGTACATCATACCATGTATCAGAACATCGTTTTTATGGATAAATAATTTTCTTTTATATGTCTACAGCACCTTTTTTTTTTTTTTTTTTGGCCTCACCTTGCAGCATGCAGGATCTTAGTTTCCTGTTCAGGGATCGAACCCGTGCACCCTGCAGTGGGAGTGTGAAGTCTTAACCCCTGGACCACCAGGGATGTCCCAGTGTACACCTCCTTTTGTTTATCCATCTGTTGATGGGCGCTGGGGTCATTTGCACCTTTGGCTGTTGTGGGTGATGCTGCTGTGAGCGTTGGTATGCAGGTATCTGCCTGAGTCCCATCTTCAGTTTTTCGGGGTGATATGTAGAAGTGGA